AGTGTCAGTTGTCATTGGAGGGAAAGCTGGAGGAATGAACAGCCATGGGGAGAAAGGTGACAGCTGTAAGGGGCTCATGGCCATCCAGGTGAAGATGTAGGAAATGCAGCTGGAATATGCAGGCTTGGAGTTCAAGTGGCAGCTGGAGCCGATCTCTCCAGTGGGATTTCTGCTGCCTTGTCAGTTCTCATTTCTCACTTGGAGAAAAAGATTAGAAGACCTGAACAGACAGAGGACAGCTAAAGCTATAGCAAAAGATGAGACTACTCCGGAAGTGCAAGTGTGTCAAATAAAAGCAAAAAGACAGCTAGGACAGAGATGAAAGCATCACCAATATTTAAGAAACACTAACACTTAAAAGTAAGAGATAAGGCAGCTGCAAACGTAACTAAAAAGAGAAACCAGAGAATCAGAAGACACAAAGTAAAGATAGGGAATATTTCAAGATGAAGTGGTCAACTCTGCTGAATGATGACAAGAGGACCCAGCCTGACCTGCAGCCAGCAGTTCATTGGTCCATCCTTTCAGCCATCTCCCACCACCCCAGGACTACCCCTATCCCACAGTGCTCTCCAGGTGTGTGATTCTATCACCATGCCTCTTCATTCTAGATTACCAGCAGTCCTGCTCTTCAATGGTCTAGGCCACTTAACTACAGCCCCAAGGGAGCCCTCAGTAGTCCCTGCTGAATACACAACCCCCCGTGCCAGCAGCGAGGACTGTATTCTGGGCAAGTTCAATTCTATCATCAGACCTTCTGTTGTTTTTTTTGTTTGTTTTTTGAGACAGGATCTCACAATGTATTTCAGGCTGGCCTGGAACTCACAGCAATACTCCTGCTTCAGCCTCCCGAGAGTGCTGGGATTATAGGCATGTGCCACCACACCCAGCTTCCAGATCTTCTAAAACCTAAAGTGCTCCAGGTCCACTCCTGCAGAGCACAGGTGGAGACATGTTATCTGCTGCACACCCCATCAGGAAGGCAAGGAAGGAACTGAAGCCCAGTGCCAGCCCAGCACTTACACATGGGAAGGGAACATCCTGTTCCAAAATAAGGCTGAAGCCGGGCCAAGATGAGGATCCTCTGAACCAACTCTGAGCAGGCTCTGGCCTAGAGTACAGATCCTCCAGCATATGACTATCCCAACTCTTTGCCTCCGGTCTTACTCTCTCACTGATTTCCCCTCCTCTTAGACCCACAGTTCACCCACAAAGCTTCTACTCTAACTTTTCAGCCAAGCTGTGCTATTTAACAGGGGATCTTCAGTCTTTAAGCTACTGACTAAAACCAAAATTCCTCCAGTGGGAAGAGCACCTGAGCAGGGCTCTTGTCACTCTCCACTAGTTCTATTCTCCCACCATGCCAAGGTGAGTAAGCAGAGAAGCAACACTAAACCCTAAAGGGAGCTTCAGGAAACACCAGGTAAGGTGAACGAGAGGTAAGCCAGGTAGGAAAAGTGAGCTGATCAAAGGTCAAACCCAAATCAAGCATTGTTTCTTTAAAATGTTCAAAGTGAAAAATTAAATCTGTACTCACTAAATTAAAACCCACCTTAGCAAGATCTGTAGCTATAGCATCAAAGCCCTATAATCATAGAGTATCAACTCACCAGGATTTGACAAAAGATGGACACAAAATGATATTGTCAGGATGGGAGCAGATTTCTTTTTTCTGGAGGTATTTCTGCTGCCACTTCAGTTCCCATTTCTCAGGGCTACATTAATCAAGCCTTTTCAACAAAAGTGATGTGAACCTGCTGGTAGGGGTGGGGGAGGGGAGGAGAGTAAGGACAGCGAGAAGAAGGAGCCATGGCTTCTAGAAACTAGAGTGTGAAATGAAAATATTTGCTGAATTCTTCAGACTTAGTAAAACCTGAAAATGGCTGTCAAAATAAGAAGTAAGCCACATACTAACAACTTGTGAGTGTCAATTTAACACTGCCCTTGTCAGACTCATCAGCAGCCTTTACCAGGCACACAAAAAGGGTGATGGCTCTGCAGAGAGCCCCTGACGAGAGGTTCCAGGAACACCAATAAGCTGTGCACTGTCACGCCGAACTACTTAGGTTTCCTCTCTGGCTGTTTTTATTTTGTTACACATTTAATTAAGAGCCTTCCCAGCAATTATGTGGAGTCCTGCTTCTGAAAGGCAGTCACAGAGCCCTCTTTCCCATCCTATCACCTGACAGCTGCTTTCCCCTACACCCTGTTCTCCAGAACCTCACTGGCCTTCCTCATTCAAACCAGCTAGCCACTAAAGCCTGCCATAACCATTCCTTTTGGAAACTACATGGTCTTAGAATTCAATTCTATTTAGCTCTGAGTCCTTACCTTTCTGAGCCTGAGGGGGCTTTTGTTTTGTTTTGCTTGTTTCATCTATAAAAGTGAGACACCACCCCCTACTAGAGCCAGTGGTTAGGAGAACCAAATGATGTAAGCTTTGTGTTCATTATAACTTCATTTCCTTTCATATACACTTGGATTCCATAACGCAGCCCATCATCTCAATTACATCCTTTTTCAGAGATGCAGAGGAGTCTCTCAACTCACCAATATCTATCATGAGCCCAGTGCAGGAGCCACAGGTTGGACTAGTGCTTTAGGCCAGAGCAAAGCAGCAGCCCAAAGATGGACAATACCCTCTGAAACCACCTCTCCATCTCATGGGCAGCTCAACTCCATGCTCAGGAGGCCCAGCCAAATGATCTCCAGCCCCAAGAACAGGGAAGTTTTCATATATACATATATGCATGTGTTATTCACAGTTACAGCACAAGACTCTGAGATGCAGGCACCTGGAAGATAGACACGCCAAAGGGAGACTAATAGGAAAGAATGGGAGTTTGAGCAAAGCTACCTGGAAGAACCAGACCTCTGCCAAAGCTCCTTCTGAATGGGTCCTGAAAGCCTCAGAATTCTGGGTGTCAGCATGAATCTTGCCCCACCCTGAACAGCTCCCCCTGTACTGCAAAGCCCCACATAAGACCTCTCCCTGCTCCAAGGGCACAAAGCTACCCAGGACACCCTCAAGAACAACAGCCTTCTCCTCCTCACCTTTTCCATGGACTCCCTGACTCATACTTGTTTCCAGTCCCAGCCTATGTGTCATCAGGGAGGACAGAGGCCCTCTAGAGCCCTCTAGAGGGATGCGGTTAGTGTCCACACCAAAGAGCACAACAGATGAGGTGCATGTGCACTTCTGCATTCTTGTTCTTTCTCCTGACTCCCCCACAAAGTTGGGGTCCAACAGCATGCTTCACCTCAGTGTCCAAAAGGCATAAAAAGAACTTTGGTGAGAAGATAAGGCCTGATTTGGTAGGAAATGACACTCCAAGGGCACAACTCTCCAACCCCCCCAATATCCACTTATGTTCAAAAGCACACGCGCTCGCACACACACACGCACGCGCGCGCACACACGCACACACACACACACACACTGCTTGCTGCTGCCTTCAGTGACAAAGAACACAGAGGTATTGATTCTATCAATCCTCAGCAAACACTGCCCCCACCACCTCCACCCTCCTTTAGTTCCCTGGGGGTTGTCTGAAGCCAGGTATCCATGAGGATAGACAAGATGCTGAAGTGTCAACCCAGAAAAAGCACCAGTCTGTCTTCCTCACTCAGGGCAGGAGGAACAGGAGACAAAGTAGAAAAAGCAGTGGAGACAAAGGAGAAAAGAGGAGGCTAGAGACTTGGACAGTTCCCTAGAAGCAGCCCTTTGTCATCCCACTACCAGGCTCTCAACTGAATCACCAGGGTCTTGCATGCCAGATAAAAATGAAAGGCAAGAATCTGAAGCCAGGTTGCTTAGGTTTCGATTCTTGCTCTGTGTGTCCTCAGACAAGTTACTTAACCTATCTGTGCTGTAATTTCCTTAGCTTTAAAATAAAAATACGAAAGGGAGGGGCATAAGGGCAGGTAATAGGGGGAATGAATATGAGAAAAATGTATTATATACACTGAAACCCCCCAAAACATGTTAAACTAAGGGGCGGGCAGGGCAAGGGGAGTGATAGGAATTGGAATGAAAATGATCAAAACACATTATGTGCATGTACAAATCTGCCAAAATGAAACCCATTAATCTGTACAACCAATTTTTTAAAAGAGAAAAAAAAAAAAAAAGAAACTACTCACCCAAAAATATAAAGGCTAGGAATGTAGTTCAGTGTGAAGGTTCTAGGTTCAATCTCCAGTAACACCAAAACACATACACACACAGAACAAGGACTCTCTGATGATTTTTTTAAAAATGAACAGGGATTTTGGTGTCATCCTTGCTCAGGGGCTATACTAGTCTCTGTATCATTCCAATTTTAGTATATGAGCTGCTGAATCAAGCACAAAACAAGTAAATTTCTTATTGACAGCAACTAAAGTGTGTCTGTGTCTACTCACTGTACTTTTCTATTTGAGTGGTTATACATGCAAGCTGTTTTTAATGTTGTCTATCTCCTGTGCTGTTCCTTTAAATTTGCTATTAAAACACATTAAACTTAAAAAACAACTATCCAAACATATTCTGAAGTAAATAGAAAAATAAACATTGCAAATTTCAGCTTAAAAAATGAAATACAAATAAGAATAATACCTACTTAGCGGATTGGTAAATGTGTTACTATTTCTAGAGCACTCAGAATAGTAAACCTAATATATATGGTTAAAAAAAATTTTTTTCAAGACCCTTTTAATGTCTTCTTTCTAGGAAAATAACATGCAGCCCAGTAATCAGAAGAGCTGTTGTGAGCAACAAGACCAGGCAGAGGCAGGAAGGCCCCAACAACAGCAGTCCAGGAAGGCCCTTGACTTGTCCCCACCCAGCTCCACAGAAGTCAAGGACAGGCTCCCAGCCCTCCTCTAGTCCTGAAAGCTCCAAGGACCCCAGGAATCCCTGCCCTAGATGCCCTGTAGGCTTGAATATTTACACCCCAGAAAGGCAAGTCCTGGTCCTGCAGATTCCAAGCCCCAGAGCAAAACATTCCCCTCATACTCACATGACTTTTAAGTCCCAATCTCCACAGGTGACAAAAATTGACTTGACGTTTGGATCTAAGAGGCCTTCTTTTGCCATCCACTCATCGACCCTCTGAAAAGTACACAAGAACAGATGAGATTTTCTTTTTTTCTTTCCTGAGCCCATGAAAAGCCACAACAGTGAAACACAGATAAGCTGCTTGTAATCAGGGCAGGAGAAAATTGTAATCTTATCCCACCATGGCTATGCTCTGGGCTCTCAGCCTTGGCTGGAAACTATGGAAGCACCTGGAGGATGATCCCTTCAGGAAGATGCCCCAGCCTAAGTGTGTGGAAGAAGGGAACCCTCTACCCTTGCTGTCTGGCAGCCTGCTCCAAGTCCCAGCCGTTCAACCCAAATACCTTGCTCTGCTGGCTGCTCCTCTCCCTCACTGGTCCTCAGACAAAGGCAGAGCCCACCACAGACAGACTGCACTGGACCATGAGAACAGGCTGAAAGGTGGCCTCGAGCAGGCACTCTCATCCACAGCTTTGTTCATTCATTTAGTCATTATACTATTCCACCAAATGTCTATTAATCAAGTTTATGAATCTGGTTTTTCAAATAAAGGTGAGGAGGGCCGGAGATTTAGCTCAGTAGTTCCGGCGCCTGCCTCGAAAGCGCAAGGTCCCGAGTTCGATCCCCAGTACCAAAAATAAATAAATAAAGGTGAGGAAATTTTCACCATCAGAGGAGGGTCCTTTGGCCAGGCCACAGCCCCATCCTGGCATCTGGATAGCATTGTCTGCTGTAGCTGCTAAGAGATCATAAACTGGCCCCAACTTTGTATTTCTCCTTTTCTAGCTGAGGATTCAAATTCAGCAGAATATTTTGGAGGCTAAGTATAATTCCCGCACAGAGAAAAAAAACTGTTGCTAAACACACTTTGTCTTTCTTTCCCTTCATCCCTCTGACCACTTTTATTGTCTGCACCCATACTGGGAAGTACAAATACTAAAATCAGTATATAACAAGAGAATTAGCATCAAGAATTTATGAAGCACTGTCTATTTTTCAGATGATCTCAGGCATAGGGAAGGAGTGTAGCAAATCACAACACAGATTCTACTTACACAGGAAGATTATTTTTTAAGGCTGTATCACATTATAGTTAAAAATGTGGGACTGAAAATCAGACACAACTGGGTTCCAACTCTTAGCTCCTCTATATCCTGGCTGTCTCACAGATGGGAAGTCATTTAAAAGTCATTTAACCCCTCTGAACCTCAGTTTCCTTCATCTATAAAACAGGGTAGGATGACTCACCCTACTGAGCTGTTCTGAAAATTAAATGTGATAATGTGTTAAGTGCCTACCACAAATAGACAGTAGGCTGAGAATAGGCAAAAGGCAGACTATCATAAAACAATAATAGATGGAACAATAGAGAAGTGACGAGAGTGTTATAGGAAGAACCAAGAAGAGGAAGGGCTACAAAAGGTAGAAGCAAAGTTACAGGCATAATAATTCTGTACTTGAGAAGAAATTATCTCTTTAATGTCTGCTTTCCCTATCAGACTACAAGCATCATAAATGCAGCGGCTCTTCCTCATTCACTGCCTTAATCCCTAACCCAGCATATAGTTATTCAATGGGTATCTGCTCATTGACAGAACATGCATAGGTAAAAGTTGAGTGTAAGAAGTCTTCAGAGCTCAGAAAAGAGGAACAGGCAATGAGGTTGGGGACTAGTTAAGGCAGACTGCAAAGGGCTTTGTGTGCTCAGCAGGTAACAGGGTCCATGGGTATCTTTAAGTAAGATTACTTCTAGCGGGCATAGGCTGGTTCTCCAGGCACCTCGAGATGCCACAGTAGCCCTCTGAGTAAAGCCAAGGAACCTATCTCATTCCACGGCTCCAGCAGTCTAACCGCCGAATGTCAGAGCTGCTCCCTAGTACCATACTGGACAGACCATGTGGTCTCTAAACTTTCTTTCTTTTTTTTTTTTGGTGCCGGGGATCGAACTCAGGACCTCCCACTTGCAAGCCAGGCGGCGGAACCACTGAGCTAAATCCCCAGCCCTCTAAACTTTCTTCACAGTCTGTACACCAGAGTCCTCTTCAGTTCAAGAATCTCCCCAGCGCTGTCTGAGCCTCCCCAGCCACTTCAGCTCAATCCCCTATATGCATGCACATGCAGACACACACAATCACATCCTTTCCCCAGGGTTGCCTAAAGAAAATAATGCAGATTCTATACATGAAAAGAAGTAAGGTGAACAAAGCTGCCTAAATCAGCATAATTTTGGTGCAGCTCACCAAGATAACTGCCGCATATGCTAGAGAGTTCCCCAATGCCCCAACTCCTACACAGTGAGAAAAGAGAGCAGGACAGAATAGGTCAGACAGTGATGGTGAGCTGTTTAGAGTACCCAAACTGCAACCCAAAACCCACTTATTTATGGCAAAATGCCAACACGGCAATTAAACCTGAATACTCAGGTTTTAGTTCAGAAAGGACAATTCATACATTAACATCTTTTTTTGTCTCAAAAGAAAAACAAACACTACACATGCCATAGGTTCTCCACCACTGGAGCAGGACTGTCAGGAGAGGCCACACCCAGCAAGACCAGGCCTTCACAAAGAGAAGCACTCATATAGCAGATATTTAGCGAGCACTTTTTTATTATGAGCCTGTCCAGGGGAGTAATACTACATTTGGAGTCAGGCTTGTCCAGCTTCCCTTCTCTGATTAAATGAATGAAGGCTCGTTAGTTCAATAACCACCTCAAGGCTAATGGGACCAGTCTGGTCTCCTGCCCTTGCCAAAAACACCCTTAGTCAGCCAGAAATCTTCCCTCCTCACCCAGAAAGTATACAGAAGTGCAGAAAGTAGCTTGCTGGGAAGACTAAAAAAGAATTCTCTCAGCAACATCCTGCTCCAGGGCTAGCCTGGGGTTAGCAGCAGGATGTCTCCTACAGTCCACATCTCCTCCTCAACTGAGCCACAGAGAAAACACACATTACCTCAACAGCCCACCCACAGGGACCAGGCCCTAGCTGGGGATGCTGCTAGCCCGTACACAGGGAAGGATGGGCCCCTCTTTCTCCTTGAGTCTGGTCTTACAGGGAGAACCTACACTGAGGAACTCCTTCAATCATAACAGAGGAGCTCCCCTCAAAAAACAGCGTCAATGGGGCTGAACCGCACTCCAGACCTCATCTTCTCCCAGTCACTGGTCAGGCACCCTAACCCTGACCCAGAGACTGACAGAGTGGGGGCTTCCTGACTCCAGGTACAGGGAGTACATGCTGCCAAGTGCCTCTTGGCCACTGCTCCATTCTGAAGGGTCCCAGGAAATTCAGTCTGCACCTCTCACCCATGGGAAAGGATTCTTGGCTAGGGCTAAAGAGAGAGAGGTCTGGGCCCTTCTGCCTGCTACTACTTATCTCCTTGAGGCTGCTACCTCCCCTGCTATTCCTGCAGATACATACTTGGCCTCCTCCTGTGCACTGATAAAGTCTGGACTTGGGGTTCATTGGTCTTAAAAATAAATAAAGCACCTAATGAGATCCACAGGCCTTTTTCTTCTCCCCCTACAGAGGACTGTGGGGGAACCTTCTCCCCCCTCTCAAAACCCCCAGGCCAGAGAGGGTAGGAGACACACTGAGGCCAAACTGCCTCTCCTTACTCCCTCAGGCCAGAGCACAAGAAGCAGCGTCTTAACCTTTTCCAGCTCCCTGAGGAGACCATCCTAGAAGTGTGGTCTCTGCCAAGGGTTCTAAAGTCTTTAATTTGATTTCCCTCACATAGCCAATTGTTGTAATTATTCTGATTAAGAATCATTACCTAGTGCAGCCTCTGCACCCCTGACAGGCACAATGCATCCAGCAGCAAGCTGCAGTGGGGCCGGCGGGCCCAGCCGCAGTTCCTAGAGGAGCTAACAGCAAACAAAAGCCATCAATGGGGAGTTCTGGGTGAGTTAATGAAGTGCTCACATGCCACAAGAAGCCAACAGTAAAGCTAAACAAAAACACCTCCAGTCCCTGGGGCTAGTCCCACAGTGCCACAGCTCAGTTCCCCTAGCCCCAGCCCACCCAGCACAGGCTGCCCCAGAGCTGGAGGCACAGGGCCATGGGCCAGGCAAGGTGGGGGCACTACGCTTGGCTCCCAGCAGCCCTCAGACATCTTGTCAGTAACCCTGACGGGAACAGCTGGAGATGACAGATCAATGGTTCAATACTCTCAATAGCATGTCACTGATGTGACAGCAAATGTTATTCTAATCAAGCCATAATCATAGTCAAATTACACAGCTACATTCTCAAGAGGGGAGGGAGAGAAAGGCAGCAGAAAGGGGTCAGAGGTCAGGAATTAAAGGTTATTCAACCTACCTCTAGCACTTGCTGCAGGCTTGGCTGACCATCCACCATGGCTTGAATAATCCCAGTGAGCTAAGAAGAAAGAAAAACAGGCTTTGGGTGGAAAACCAGGATGCAGGGACTCAAAGCTGGACTGGCTCTTTTCCCTTCTCTTTTTCTCTTTCAAGTGTAACGGGCTCTGGCCTGGCACTGCTTCAGGCTCAGAACCCAACTAGGAGCCTTGGATTAAAGTCCCAGAACACCAATGTGAACTCCCCCACAAAAGCCTGACCTGAGATTTGGGTACATACACATATGCCAACCTTGGGGTGTGTCTCAAACCTGTTTTGGCTTTCATTTTGCAAGAAAAAAGAAAAGTTATATGTCCTCTGTATTCAACAGGCTCGATTACTTTCCTATAAATTACAACTCCAGGCCTCACAAAAATTCCTGTAAAATTTGAGGAATGTTAGCATCGTAAAGGGGCGCTTGTTTTCAAGTTCACTCATCCCTAGGCCTGGATGTCCAGAATTTCCCCCACCACACTCTTGGTAACACCAGTGAAGCCTTGCGGGCATCTACCCGTCACTCTGCATACCTTGCCTCAATACCACATAGCCAAGCAGGAAAAAGTCACCTATAGCCAATGGAGAAACTAAGATGAAAAGGCCTAATGTGCCATATCTGGCCTAGAGACTCTCTGACTCACAGGCCTATGGTCTGCCTAGGTCAGATCTAGGTTCAAGTAAACTTGTTTCGATTTTTTGTTTTGTTTTATTTTTAAGTTAAAATATCCCTCTAGCACAGACTAGGGATAGACTGCCTACAAGGATCTGAGGCATGAGGCTCCCATGTCTCGGACACCAACTAGAAATCACCATACCCAAAAGGCCCTGCCTACTTCCAGAAAGAGCAGTATCTCGGGCTTGCTTGGAAACAACTTTTTTTTTTAAGTAGAGAGGAAGGGGTTTAAAACTCCAATTAAACTATAATTACATTTAATGAATACCAAATACCCAACTCACAGAAACCGCCAGGTCTAAGGGGGAAGGTTATTTTCTCATAGTGACTTACATGGAATGGTAATACACACCTTTTAGGGAAGAAATTTTCATTTTAAGAACGCTGAGTTCCTCTAGGTGGGATTCTGTAGTTCATCAAGTCATTATTAGGTGGTATTTTAAGGAAGTGTAAGGACACAGCCACTCTATTTTATATTCCAGAAACTGTTTTTATATTAATCTGTATTTTAATTGGGTAACAGCTGCTGCCTACAGACTTCCCATGGTCTAAAAGGAAAATAAATTAGAAAGATTAACTACACTGTTGTTTCACAAAGCTTTAACCCACACCATGCCCACCCGCCTGGCACCTCCACACCCTTTCCTTGCTTGGGAGACCAAAGAACTGCCCAGCAGAGGGAGGGCATGAGTCGAGGAGAAGAAAAGACTCGTGGGCTGAGGGCAGGGAGTGGGGTCGGCAGCTTTAATCTTGGAGTGCAGAAGATTTTTCCTTTCATGTAGTCAACAACTATTCTCAGACAGCATACTGTGTGCTAGCCCCTATTCTAGGAACCAGGGATCTGGCAGCTAAAAAAATATAAAAACCTTGTCTTCACAGAATTTGTGCTCTGGGCAGCCCCTTCTTACACCCTGCCCAGGTAGTACCCAGAGCCTGTCCACCTTCCAGAGCCACACACTGAGCAGGCAAGCAGATGCTCTGTTTTGTCTCAGGTATGGAGGGACCAAGGAGAGTCAGGACTAGGCTTACTCCCAACTCCAGGTCTACTGCTCAAATTATGGACAGACATTCAGGCACCACCACTGTCCACTTTGGCTCAGCTTCTCTCCTGCTAAGTTCTTCCAGGACTTGGAAGACTAGGGCTTAGAGTCAGGACTACCGTGGAAAAGAAGGCCCATGGCCACTCTCACTTCTTAGCAATCTCCAGAGTCCAAATATCAGTCTTGTGTCTAATCTGATTTTCCTGGGGCAAGGTCAGGTCTACTCCTCATAGCTCCTTCCAAGGGTAACTCAGATGAGGTGCGCCCTGAAGGGCTTCAAGAAGGTCTCACTCACACAGGGAACCAATGGCACCAGTGCTAAGAGCCCTACTTCCTTGCACAAGTACCTTCTCTGGGCCCCATGAAAACCATGGATGTGGGGTAAGAAGCTCACTACACCATAAAGGAAAACTACAGGCTACTCAGGCATCCTGCTGCAGGACTCTCCACTCGCAGCCAGGCCCACTCTTCCCATCCTGCGGCACCACTAACCTGGGCTTTCACAAACCCCACTCACAGACTGAGCAATCCCAGTATCATCAGCCTGGGAGGAACCTTATGAGGCCAGCCCCTGCTCTGTCCATGCTTCCCAGAAAAGAGGCTGGGCTCAAAAGTGAGTTCCTAAAGGAGCTCAACCCTGAGACTTGGGGGGCTTGAACACTTAACCCTCATCCCTCCAAAAATAAAACACTTCTTATCAGCTCTGGAAAGACACTAGATGAATAGGGGGTAAAATTAATAAAGTCAGTACCTTTATCTGATGCTTAGGACCTATAAAACATATAAGCAGCAGAGAGAGAGAGAGAGAGAGAATTTTATAAAATACCAGGAACTTCTACGTTAGGCCTACCTTAAACCCTTCATACTATAGTTTAAGGCCCTTCCTACTTGGGCTAATATATATATTTTTTAAAGCCTTCACATTCTCACAGTGAAAGTCTAGAGCAAAGCCAAGTATTATTAAGCTGAGAACCAGGGCTCAGAGGCTAAACAGAGCTCAGAAACCTTAACCACTTAAAGCAGGAGAGGTGAGAGGAAGAATTAATGTGTGCTCTGTGGCTCCTTTCACTGAGGGATTACAGATTAACTCCCACTTCTCCAGACTCGGAAACCACAAGGCAAGGGGCTTCTGACCCTGACAGATAACACTGCTGGGTACTGAGGTCTCCTACCTGCACAAGGGCTTTGTCCAGGGGCGAGCTGGCTTCACCATAAACACTAGCGACTATAGGAAGCAGCCCTGGAAAACTAGTGCCAATAACGTGTCAGCATCCAGAGCTTTCTTCTTTCAGTTTATCTCCAACACAATCGTATTCTGACACCAAGACAGTTTGTTGATTACATAAGCACTTGTCTCTGGTGCACAATCTGATAATCAGAACCACTCTTTCTCCTCAGACAAAGAGACCAATAAATCTCACCCTTTATAAGTACAGGTGCAATACAAAGACCTTTACTGGCATTTAGCAAATGGGTATTTTTCTAGTTTTTTCATAACAACAACAAAAAAAGATTGCACGTGGTTAAGGACTACGCAGCAGCTCAGGTGCTAGAGACAGATCTGATAAGCTGGAACAAATTCTGGAGGTTGTAGGGAAAAGGCTCCAGAAGGAATGAAACACATCTCATCCTATTTCTGCTAGAACCATGTCTCAGGAAGATTACTAACTTAATTTAACAAGGCCCTTAAGAAAGCTAGTAATGTGTTTCTTACCTGGAGCAGCAAAATAAAGAATGTCTGTCTGTGATGTGAAGACTCAAGGTAAAATCCTACTTCATATCATCCAGCACTAAGCCTCTCTCCCCACACAAGCATGTGATATGTGTAATGTGTCATGTGCAAGTGCATGCACACACACACACACACACACACAAACACACACACACACAGAGGCTAAAGTTCCTAAGAATGTCTTGTGCATAATAAGCCAGGCATGGTGGTTCACACCTGTAATCCCAGCATTCTGGAAGGTAAACATGGGAGGATAGCAAGTTTGAGTCCCACATATGCAATTCAGCAACACCTTGTCTCAAAATAAAAAATAAAGGAAGTCAGTCAGTCTTATCTTGTGCACGAGAGAAAATCTTGCCAGGAGTTGTTTACATATAATCCAGAGATGTGTAGTTGCTGTTCACACTTACTAATAAAATGACTCTCTCTGGTTGTAATGACCTCCACTCTACCCCCAAAGGTAGCTATTAGCAGGTGGATGAGGTCTCAGAACAACAGCCTCATTCTGTGTCCCTGCTTCCTTCTGTTACATAGTTCCATCTGGTCTGTATACAGGCCAATATTTAGATAATTTGAGGTTTTCTATAGAGTATTTACTTACTTTAAAAGAGCAAGTCAGCAGCACAGTTGTTATGGGGGAAGACAGGAATGATTCCTTGACAATATTCATCCATTTAGAGAACATGCATCAAATGTAGACTTGGTACCAGACCCTAACGATGGGGCAAAAATGGATCAGGTCTAGTTCTGCCATCAAAGAAATCATAGTCCAGTAGGGGGACAAATAAATAACTAAAAATATAATATATCTGATCAGTACAATGTTGAGGTGAGCATAACCCAAGCTGGAGATGAGGGAAAGCTTCCCAGGGAAGGTGACCCAAGTTGAATGCTAGAGGACAAGTAGGATTTAGCGAGAACAAGTAGGAATTAAGTAGTGTACAGGCACAGGAACCACTACATGCAAAGATGGATTGTAAGAGGGCAGCCTTTGGGTGAAGAGAACCAGGTGGGAGATGAAGCAGGGAAGATGTGAGGCTGGAGAAAAAAGCAGGGACCAGGTCATGGAAAGTTTTGAGCCCTGAAAGCCTCAGACAAAATGGCTGACCCAGTACCTGCAACATAACCATATCCTTCCTCACTTTCAAAACAGTCTTCATAGCCAAGATCCCAACCACTACTCCTATTATCCTCCAAATTACGTATGTATGTCCTTGGGTCAAACTACCTAGAAAAAGGAAACAGTTTTCCTCGTAGTCTCACAAGTCTTCCTCCCCCTCCTGCCCCCCACCCTCGCCAAAACAGCCAAGCAGCACCAGCCACCCTGTTCCAGAGAAAATCCCTCTTGTCCCAACACCCTAGAGCATCTACACTCACCTAGAGTTGTGTTTCAGCAGCACTCTGTTCCATTCCTAAAGGGGCAGCAAAGTTTCCAAAACTTGAGCCGTGCTGGCATATGCCTGTAATCCTACCACTTAGGGAGGCTGAGGCAGGAGGCTTGCCATGAGTTTGAGGCCAGCCTGGACTACATAATGAGTTCAAGGCCAGCCCTGTACTACAAAGCCGGACCCTGTCACCCACCAAAAAAAAAAAAAAAATTAGGACTGCTTGCCTATTCCAGGCAGCCTAGCTTCAAAGGTAGTTTGAGCCCCCAAGGTACAAGCCGCACACGGAGGATGAAGAGTAGGACAAGAGAGCACTAGACTTTCAGGCCAGTGGAAGGCTCAGGTAGCTGACTGGTTTAAGAACTTCATGACCTTCCTATAAGGAAAGGGATTTTCTTCATCATCAAAATGGTAGTTTTTTAAAAGGGGCCAAAGAGGACAGATTAGCACCCTCTGGTGGCACAGGTAGTTTCAGGGGAAAGGGGGAAAACCAAGAAAGAAAAAGAGGGATCAATCTGAACATCACTAGTTAGAACAAAGAACTTAAGAGACTAACACCCAGGCAGATAGATACCAACAACAAAAGGCCCACTTCGCACAGTAGTAAACACTGCCACCAAGTGTAGAAGCAAACCTCAAGACCTTGCATCTGGGCTGAGCCAGCCACAGAGTCTACTGAGCCACACACCTTTGCCAGACAGTTAGTTCATTCCCCAGCCTCCTCTACACCAAACAGGCGGTGGGATTACTCAAGAACTTCTCTATCATTCACAGGTATAAAAGGTAGATCTCTAAATGAAGGCACAACGTTTCTAATGCACTTCAGTCCCAACAGAAACACTCATGCTTTCCCATTACCTCTATTAGCACATATGCTTAACCTGTGATTCCACTGCAGAATGAATAACATGATATATCACATGAGAAAGCAGTCACAGAAGCTTCTCCACACAATCCTGGGGGTCTGAACTTTTACCAGCTCTTTCCTTCTGCCAATGGCTCTTTTGAGCCTCCAGCAAACATCAAAATCTCAGTCCTAGTTTCACAATCTGTAGAATGGGGTCAGTACTAACTTACTGACAAAATAGCCAAGTAGAGCACTAGCCTAGTAAGGACAAGTCTGCCTTGCCCAGCCTGTCTTCTCTTTCATCAGCGTCAGAATATGCTTCTCACAAACTCAATCCACATTCCACATATGACCATCCTATTCCTAGACTCCAACTGCCCAGTGACCAGGAAAGGTAGAGATGGTACTGGAAGAAAACGTCAGAGAAGCTAGAGCAGACTGTACCACTGCTCTCCCTGGGTCCCCAGGGACCAAAATGACTCAAGTAGGGTCACAGACTGTAAGAAACCAAACTGCCAGACCTTAAGTACACTTGCCTTAACCTCTGATTAGACCTAAGCTTTTGCTAAGGGACCTGTAATAGAGCATTGGTGATCCCAAAGCTTCTCTCCCAACAGCCCTTGGTACCCACCTCCAGGGCCCTTACCTCTGTACAGAATGGGGTAAGCTGTGGATGGACTACAGGCTGGACATACATGTGAAAAGTAGACTCAATCTCCATGGTCCGGCCATTTAGCTTCAGGATGGGGAACTCAATGATTTCCTGGAATGTCAAAGACATAGAAAAGGAAGTAAGTTATTTTAATCAACCATTTCGAACAATAACTTCAAGTCAAAAAAGAATGACTGTCTGCAGCTCATTACTCTTGCCAGACCAAACCCAAGACTGAGCAAGATGGTACTAGTACGGTTAAAATCCAAACCTTTCCACGGCTAACAACCACACAGGCTCCAAAAACTGGACATGCCTCTCATCCCCACTGTTTGTGGAAAGGAGAGGGAAGACAATGGTGTATTCTTCCCCAGTTTCCTCAGTAGGTTCTCTAGCAGAAGCATGCTCATTTGAGCCTCTAAAAGGGGGACTTTTTCCCCTTACTCAGGTCCCTGTCCTAGAATGGATTTGGATCTCCAGCCACTTAAGACAACCAGCCATCAGACCAGTGCATAGATTTCCTTGAAGGAAGTTTAAACAGAGCCAATGTGTTTATTTACTAGTTTTTACAAAGAGAAAAAAAGTGATAAGAAAGCCAAAGACAAGGAGAAAACTGAACACAAGTAATAGGAGCTAGTGCCTCCTACCTCTCTTTCAGGCAGTACCCACCCTCCCCCCCTCCCCGCCCAATCACTTAGCCAGCCCTTCCCAGTCCACTGGAACGTAATGGAAGAGGAGGAGGAGTGACAATTTGTTTGGTGTCTCTAAGATTAATTTGTCTCCGTTATTTAATAGAGATGCACAGCACCAAGGTCCTGGTGTGCAAACAGGCTTGCAGAACGCTAGCTGCGCAGCACGCCTCATACATTGCTCCTGGGAAGGGAGGGAGGGACACATCAGGGAGGGGAGAGGGCAGGAGAGAGCACGCGCATACCAGAGAGAAGAGGGAAAACAAGGAGAGAAGAAAAAAAATATTGCTTTTTAATATTCAAAAACAGTTTGCAAAATTTAATCAAAGCAGAGGAAAAGCTAACATTTTTACCACTTTGACATTTTTATTAGCACTTTCATAAATTTTTAAAACATGAATGGAATTAGTTTACAACACAAAAAAACTGCCCTGAAAACATCTGGAAGAGACAAATAGGAAATAATAAAAAATAAATAAATAAAAGCAAAATTCTCCAAGTAAAATTAGTATGTGAAAAAGGCTTCCACTGCAGAGAAAGAAGGGGGGGCTTTGCCCACTCAGTGGCCCCAACAGTCCGCTCCAGTGGCGTCCCTACCCTAGTTCCCCCTGTTCTAGAGGAGACCTTTCCAGAATCAGTAAAATCAAGGCAAACTGGTTCTCTGCAGAGACAGCCTGGAAAAGTAACACTGCAGCTGATGACACCTGACTGCACTGAGGAAATGAATAAGGTGGGAAAACAAAAGAAGTAGTCAATCTCATGTTCCAGGAAGCCAGATATCCCTCCTCCCCCTCACCAAGCCAACATACCCACTAATACTGAGCTTATTTTTAAAGCATCTATTTCACCCCAACACATAACAGCAGGACTGAAAACCAAATCAAGGCAGTCAGGTTTCGTGCCAGAGAAATTCAAAGGTTCTGGTTGCCTGGCCTCCCTGGGCTGATCCCCCCAAGATGAGGAAACTAACAGGAGCTTATTGCCAGATACAGGAAGGGCAAAATGGCTGCAAGGCTGAGGGAGGGGGAAATGGAGAGGAGGCCCAGGTTGCTGCTTAGACTAGGTGATACCTCTCCTCCCAATGCCAAGAGAGGAAGATACAATTCTTCACTTTGCTAAGCATTTTATTCCCTATAAGCATTACAAAGCAGGCCAAGCAGAGGGGAGTTTTGCTCTGAGAAACAAATCTGACCACATACAACATATGCATTGCTTCTCCTAAAATACCAGATAGCCAAGATTTCTGAGATGTGGTTTATCTGAATCAGGCTCATTTGACTCCCAAATGTCTGACAAATCCTTCCTCCCCCACTAACTAAGAAAAACATTTCCCCCAAAAGAAAGAGCTCCATACTGGTGAGTTTGGCTGCCCTGGTGTCTAAGGAAGCAAATACAGCCAGTTCCTCACTAACAATGTTAGCTGAGCCCACAATGAAATTTAACCTGTGACACAACTGTACTTTTCATTTAAACTTTCATTTGGGGAGAGGCAGTGTTTGGAGACCTGCAGTTTGTCCTGCTAATAAAGACAAGTGTTTGGACCTTTAAGGATGCCATTCATCTTTGGCTTTTATTAAATTCAATTTTCTTAAGCCCATGATACATTATGAAATTAGGAGTTGACATTCCTCTGGAAACAAAAATATCTATCAAACATAAATAGGAAAAAAACCTCTATTACCAAGAATTTATGGCTTAAAGTTGATCTCTTTCCACTTTTTTACAAGCACATGGTTTGTTTTAGATATCTGAAATGCTATTATAGATCTGGAATTTCATTAGTATTTATTATAAAATAGTGCACGTTCAGCTCCTGCTCTGACCAGCACCAAGTCAGCATCCCCCAGCAGTGTCTTGGAAAACTTGGCCTTTGGATTTCCCCATTGCAGTTCAGTATTTAAACTTTCCTGCCACTGCCCTCCTCACTGACAGGCAGATGAAGTCAAACCAAGTGCTCAAAACTCAGTGTCTTCCTTGTTGCAGAGATGAAGAACAAGCCAGTCTCAGATCCATGCAAAAAAGGCACAGGACACCCCCCGCCCCCGCGTGCACACACATACACACACACACACACACACACACTTGGACACAAGGCACTGTACACATCAGTCTGGGCTAACCATAAACATACCTCTTCAACGTTGCCAGCCCATTGCCTAGGCCTACTCCCCAAGACCAAGAAGAGGGACTTTCAAGAGCCAGTCTCAGTCTCAACACACGACTCTGGAGGAGCCCTTCTTAGACAGCACTGGGAGGTGCTGTAACGATGAGGCACACACTAACATTAATTTGAGCCACTGAGGATGAAAAAGAGGAGCCACTGATAGAAGACTCTTCAAGGAACTCAGAGCAGATAGGACCTTACTGAAGCTTCTTACCATATTGTGCAGCAAGTTCAGACCTCAAAGCTCAGGCCCTAATAGTCCAAGCTCTGCACCTAGTTGGCACGATTTTGCAGCAAGTATACCTGAGTGATGTCAAACACTTCCCGGACAGTTGTTAGGTGATAATGATCACAGTCATAACCCCAACACTACAGGTCGATGGCATCAATTCCAACTCAAGGATCTGTGAAGATGTACCCAAGTGCCAGCTTCTAAGGCCAGTTGCTCAGACAATGAAACATTACTCTGCCCTTCACCTTTTCCCTCATCCAATTTCATTATTCGCCTAGGAAGAAGTTTTTCACAGGCAGTTAAGTGCTTAGGTAATCATACTGCTAGGAAAGAAAAATGAACCTGTATGTATTTACATGCCCCTAATAATAGTTTTGTGTAGGAACTACTTTGTGTAGGACTATCATACAGGTGTTAGAGTGGAATGCAGAGATAAGAGGTACCCTCTGTTCTTTGGAGAAGTGCAACCACTAGTGAGTGGAAAAGATGCGTGACAAGTCATGAACACTGTAGTATGATAAATACCTTAGTGGAGAGACAGTCAAAGTGTTATACATTTTTACTTACAAAAGTTGTGTTTTTAGCAGCATATGGAGGCACATGTCTGTAATTCCAGCACTCTGGGAGGCTGAAGCAGGACAATCACAAGCTCAAGCCCAGCCTGGGCAACTTAACAATTTAAGTGAGATCCTGACTCAAAATATGTAAGGGGGAGGGGGGGTGCTGAGCATGTAGCTCAGTGGGAAGGTCCTGGATTCAATCCCAAGAAAGGCCAAAAAAAGAGTGTGCTTTTATATATATCCCTATTTTAGCCTTATTAATCCTGGGAGCTAGGTCATATCATTATCACCATCAGGCTATAAGCCAATACTATTATGCATTTACATTTTACCAGGCAAGGGTTGAGTGTGGAAACAGACAAACACAATGAGACAGATGTACCACCTCTCTCTAAGATGTTCAGTCTGGGAAAAGGGAATAGAAGAGTTGATCTCCAACACTCTCCAACACATGTGAAGAATGAAATCATCTCTGTTCCACTTACTGTTTACTCTGTGGCAGACACACTGCTAACAGGAATGACCTTACTTAATCCTCCACATGACTCATGAGGTGAGAATCATTACTATCCTCACTTCACAAATAACAAAGAAGTTAAGTCATTTGTTTATGATTATACTGCTGGTAAGTGACAGCGCTGAGACTTCAAGTGGGGAAAAATAGGACTAGCAGCTTTTAAAGTCTGAAGGGTCATGAAAGTCTGATTCTCTTATTTCTGAAAGGCTACCCTATAGGGAACTCAGGCCACTATCTCCTGGAAAGAGAAGTCACTCTCAAATTGTAACAGCAACTGACGTGGACACCTCACGGAGCAAGTCCTACTTTGGATTGCTACTGAAAAGCCTCCAGTGTGGCTGCAGCAGCACAGATGGCACTAGGCTATGCACTCGGTGAGGCAGGAACCTTGGGTCTTCAGTTTGCCTCTCTGGCACCTAGCTCCCATTCAGGCACACAACTCTCACTTTCGACTTTTGTTGAGCAAATATATGAAAGAGCTAATAAATAGAAGATGGAAAAAAAGTGCCTGGCTCAAACAGAAAACAGTCTGCTTTCAGGGGACCTTCCACAAGATCAGGCAGGTGATCTATATAAGATGACAAAGATAGCAGAGAGTAGAGCCTGGATTCAATTCCAGATATATAACATTCCAAAACACTGTCTCCTAGATCCATAGATCCATCCACTTTCTCATCCTCAAGTGGGTTCCTCCCTCATGGGCTACAATCCACTAAATCCTAGTGTTACCTAGTTTAACCAACTGTCCAATTTGCCTAGGACCACGGATATTTGGGAACACAGGACTTTTAGTACTAAAACTGGGACAGCTGGTCACCCTACATCATTCACAAACTACCTATACCATTAAGTTCTCCAAAGGGAGAACAACATAAATCCAGGAAGTTTACTTGCTGATGGTAGATGGAACATAAACCCTAGAATTTGGATTTGTCAAAGTATCCAACGT